CGTGACGGGGGCCGGTGCGACGCGTTAATTCCGAAGACAGGAAGAGCTGGGATGCGTCTTCTGTGAGATGCTTTTACGTCCACCACGGGTGGTTCGTGGTCTGTGTTTCGTTGCTTTTTCCTGAGGGCATATGTGTGTGTGTGAAACTTTCAGAATAAATTTCCAGAAATATTTGTATACAAATGTGGAACTATGGTATGTGCGTATATGCACGTGTGTTACATTTCTATAACTTTCGTTTTTCATGTTCTTCCTAGGGAAAGGCTACCTCTTATTTCCATTGTTATTTTCTTCAATGTCCAAAATAAGGCTCAGAACAGCAGCCTTAGGAACTCGACATATGTCTATGAGACAGTGGATTTCACTAGCAATGCAAAGAAGAACCGATTAGACATATGACATTTCAGAAACACTTTGTTTGATCAGATAATTCTATTTCATTTTGAGAAAACAGAGATAAATTAAACAGCACTTTGAATCATGTTAATTGCGTGTCCGCGAGAGCACAGGAAAAAAATAATACACTTCTAAACGGCTTTCTCCCCAAACTGACAATCGGTCTCTTCGAGGCAATAGGTTTATTATGTGCCGCAGTCTCCTTGGGGAGGCGGGGGAATTCGCCGCCTGTGTCGGGGGCATTAACGCGTTCCCGCTTCTTAGTCACCGTAAAGAGGTTTAACTACGAGCACACCCAGCGATGTTGATGATTTCCTGGAGAAATAGGAAATCTGGCTTAACGTCCAAGAAATTCAGACAGAACTCTCACAAAACGCCAGCGTTTCCAAATGCATTTTGGAAAACTATCTTGCTGAGTCAACTCTACATTCTTCCAGTTATGTAAGTAAAATGAATGGGGTGTAATATTCGAGAAGAATGTGCTCGACCCCCTGATATCACATATGAAAAGCGAGGCAGACGGAGGTTAAGGGAAGAAAGAAGCTACGAGTATCATAGAAATAGAACCCTAACATTTATGGTAAAGCTATTTGGAGAGAGTGGAACAGCCTGGCCCATTCTGTTTTGGCTCAAAGAGGGGCCGCCTGACTTAACATCACGCGAGTGCCACATCCATCTTTGCCGCTGGCAGAGGCAAAGTCTTGAACCTTTTAAAAGAAATGAGTTTGCCAATGGATTAACTTGCTTAATTTGGCATACTCGGACACAAACAAACAAACAAACAAATAAACAGGAAGTACCCATTCCTTTAGCCGTCTCTGCAGAGATGCTCAGGATTCTCGCTTCCCGCTTCACGGGTTTCCTGCCCTAGTCTGCGATGCTCCGGAGATGGACCGCAGCCAGCGCCGGCTCCGGAACAGCCTCTCAGCCAGTCCCGTGGAGACGTTCTGTCTCCTCCCATCCTCCTTTTCATCTAAGTCCAAATAGCTTCGATTCGCCTGATTTCACCAGAGCATTGTCCTTTGTTCCTATATGTTTAGGATAAAAAAGAAAAGAGTCCGTGTATCACGAACTCATGGACACAGACACCTGTTCCCTGACATCACGCCCTCTTTTCCCTTTAAAATGTCCCTGCCTCGTATCTTACGCTCCGTATTCATGCGAATTCTCCGTTATGGCCCCGCAATCTACCTCTCATTTACAAAACTATTTTCAAAAACCAAGTGCAGCAGACTTCGCGGCAATACAGCTGGGACCTGGAGGGGGCTTCGGAAGGCCTCGCTCCAGCAGCGATGGGTGTCCAGTCCCCGGTGATCATAGACAGGCTTCCAACCGCTCTGGCTGGCTACGGCTGTTGGCACGTTCTGCTGCCCGTTCCCGCTTCCTGGGCTGTTCTATTATGAAGTAGGATGTACATATGTTGCCAGCACAACAAATTAACACAAACCCGATGGCTTAAACCAACACGAATTTATTACCTCAGTGTTCTGCAGGTTGTCCATCTTACGTAGGTTTTGCCGGAATAAAATCCACGTGTCGACGGGTCTGTTTCCTCCCGGAGGCTCTAGGAGAATTGAATGCATTTCATGGCCTTTTCCGGCTTCCAGAGGCACCTGGCCCCTGGCTCGCGGCCCCTCCCCCACCTCTGAGGTCGGCGAGCACGGTGGGGGGGTCTCACATGGGTCCCCCCGACCTTCTTCCACAGCTTCTCGTTCTCCCTCGGGCTCTCTTCTGCTTCTGTCTTCCACTTTTGGGGATCTTTTTGATTCCATTGGGCCACCTGATAATTCGGGATAATCACTCCATCTCACGGTCTGCAACTTCGTCACACCTTCAAAGTGCCCTTTTGCCACACGAGGTGACACGGTCACAGGTTCTGGGATTTGGATGGGCGCACTTTCGGGAGGCATTACCGGAGAGGTGCCCAGGTGAATTCTGTAGCTCTAAATCTCAACTGAACCATCCAGGGTCTTAGTGAATCCACAACATAACCGCTGGTTTGTGTGCTAATCAATTTTTTAGAATTAGTTTGTAATGAATGAATAATTGATTGTATAATATAATCTTTCTGTTGAATGACAGCTCAGAGGTCAGCCCCAACCCTATGGAAGGTGACAGAAAAACTCACAATTCTAAGGACAGATCTTATTTAGAACAACCACTTCACCTGACACCCCCGAAGGAGAGGACATGGACATTTGTCTAATTCTCTCAGCCAAATCGAGAAACCTATGCACAGCCCGCTCTGGAGTGTGACACATTTGCAGGGCTTGGCTCCAACCACGGAAAGTGTAACTGTTGCAAATCCTCGCCTTTGATTCTGTGTGGGAGGAGCCTGTACAGGAGTTACCTGCTTTCGAAACTTTTTGAAACGGTTATGAAAGGTAGCTGGATGTACATCATCTCACCAACTTCCCGCCCAGCATTTGTACAAATCGCCTCGTATGCACTAAAGCAGGGCCAGCAAACAATGGGCGCAGGCCATTGTTCTAATCTGACCCATTAGTTAACAATGGTTTTTTATCTTGTTAAGTGGCTGAAAAAAAAAAAAACATTAAAAGAGTATAATATATTTTTTTTAACCCAGAAAAAATAAATGAACTACAAATGTCAATGCCCATTAACAAAGTGTCACGGGGCCCCAACCACCCGATCTCGTGGCCGCATTTACATAAGGACACAGCTGGACAGTTGAAACAGAGACCGTATGACTCACACCCCCTCAAACGTCCCTATGTGGCCCACTGCAGGGGAGCGTGTTGACTCAATCCAAACGGGCGTTTGGAAAGGCGGGTGTTTCGAAAGGCAGACGTTTGGAAAGCGTGGGGTGAGGAGGGTAATTGTGGGGGACGCTAGTGTTGAAACAGCCGAAACACACTTCCTCCTCGATGTTGGGACGGGAACCGCTCCAAGAATCTACTTCAGAACAAATAATTATCTTTAAGACAACAAAGAACAAACATGGATTTCGGTTATAAAAATTTCAGTAAATAGAATGTAGGTGAGCTGGGCAGGCTGCAGGGGGCTGAATGCAGAACTTACTTCTCTCTTGGCCATGGCCAGTATGAGGCAAAGAGGTAGGTGACCTATTTCTAACAGAATTTGTAATATAATCTCACCAGGAAAACGGGGCAGGGGCAGGGAGCCCTCAAATGAAATACCGGAGTGACAAAGTGTCGCCTGGAACCCGCCGTGCCCGACCCCAGCGGTCACGCTACACAAATCCAGCAGGCAGGCGGGTCCCAGGCGTGTGCTTCCCCTCACCAAGGATCATTCCAAACGGTGACAGAAACACTGTTGCCATTGGTCACAGTCAGGCTTTGGCTTTGGACTTTTAAAGGATACTGTCCGTTTCTGCACCGAAAATTGAAGCTGAACACCCTGACATCGGAAAGCGTGGTGACAAATTCCATCCGATGCTGCTTTTCCTCCAGGTAGAGGGGGGAGGATGGGGACCCCGACCTGGGAGACCCTGTGCGTGGAACCTGACTTCCTGCTTGACCGGAAGCGGCGGTGCCCGCGGGCTGGCCCACACAGGCCGCCGCGGGGTCCAGCTGCCAGCCAGGTGGCTCAATCCGTGCAGGCCATCTGCCCTAACGAGCATCACTGAAATGGGGGTCGCCCGCTGAGGCACAGAGCAGCGACACGGTGCGTAGCCGCATGGTACGTAGCGTGGGAAACGCGCTGTGGGTCAGTCGCAGGCGCATCTGCGAAGCCACCTCCGCACCTCGATGCAGCTGTTTTCAAGTCTGGAAAACCGAGGTCCGGAAAAGGCGGCCCAGCCACACTGCGCCTCGGCCGGCACGAGGCGAGCCAGGGCCTCACCGCCCGAGCCCGTGACGCCTACGCCAGTGGCCGAGACCGAAAGGGCTGCCTGACAGGGCACTGGCTCCTCGTAGTGACACACGATTTGTCAAGAGTAAGGGGCGAAGTACTTGCTTTCGTCTGACAACTAAACTACACATTATAATGTGGACTAATCTTTTAATCAGAGACCGTGTCTGATGTTTAAAGATTTCATTGTGTTTAATATACTCCTTTGCTCAAACACGATTTTATTCCATTTCGAATGTCTCCGTCAGCCCTTGTCGCCCCTCTGATGAGCGCTCCCCTCCCACCCCTCAGTAGGAGAAGTCCCGGCTGTGAATTCTGCAGCCGAAGCACTGGACACACGGCGTGCCGTCGAGCATGACAGACAGTTTATTTGAGTCCGCTTCAAGCGAAACAGAATCGAGTGTTCAAATCCTGAATGGCAGACTTTTATCATTTGCCTTTTTTTTCCGTTTATAATTCGTTATGATCACGGTCCTGATGAAAAAAAAAATCAAAAGAATATCTTCTCATTTGTGTATCATTAATGAAGAAGAGTCAAAATGTAAGATATTGTGAAAGCTATCATTCCATGAAGAATAGATATAGCATTTGTTTGTGGGCAAAGATAAAATTATCTGAACCATTTCAAGGTTTCGAGGCAGCTAATAAAGGGCATCTGTTTTAAGCATCTCACAATGAAGATCGTCCACGGTCAGTCTTAAAAGTGGGTTTCAGATAAGACATTTGCTCTGTCGGTTCACAAGGGGGATGTCTTTCTTTCTCTTCTCCAGGCTGACTGGCATGAACCTCCCCTCTCCCGTCATCAGCAGCAAGAACTGGCTGCGGCTCCATTTCACGTCGGACAGTAACCATCGACGCAAAGGATTTAACGCTCAGTTTCAAGGTAAGAACGTTCCATTTTATAAGGAAAAAAAAAAATAGCAGAAGATCTGTTCCTTCCAACCCTGATACTTTATGATTCTCTTGCCAAGGACAAAAGCAGAGACATGTGCTTGGAAATACTTTCTCTCTCTTGCGTGAACAGTTAACGTTAGAAATTCTATAGGTAATGACTGATAACTTACTAATGATGTTTTTATTGTGGTATGCAGTAGATTTTCTTGTTTTGCTGGAATTATTGCTACATTTTAATCAATAAATATCGATTAGCATTCATTTTAAATTCTATACGCCTGACTAGTAAAGATCCCAGTGGTCTGTACATTTTCTTTACCCGGTAGTATGTAAGGGTCGATTCTCAAACTTCCTCTTTGTGTCTGATTTCTTGCGATTATATCTGGATAGTGTCGTATCATCCTCTATATGTTTCTAATAACCAATAATCCTTCTCAGTACCATGAGAAGAACTCAATCTATTAAGAGATCCCTCGGAAACAGTTCCACTCGCATTTGCAAATAAAAGATGCCATGACTGTGTCAGAAGGTGAGAGGCCTTCCCATGCAGACTGCTCGCGTGTCCCCCAAAACATGGCCGTAAGGAAGTTCAGTGGAGGCGGTGTTTCCTGACACGCGTGCATGCGAGCCAGGGCCCCAAAGTACGCACCTGCCCCACGCTCCAGACACTGCCAGGTAAGGACGGTCCGTAGACAACTCCCACGAAAGGCAGAGCACAAACAGAACTCGTGCAAGCCACCCAGGGATTTTCTAAGAATCTTCCGACAATTCAGTGTGAATCACTAATCAATATTTAGATGCCTCTCGACTAACAAGATAACTAGGAAGGTGAATCTATAGAGTTGTTTCTAAACTGTCGATTCATCTCCTCCAAGGTGCCGATGAATTGTTTGGCACCCAACTACAGACAAATCTCTAGGTATCATGTCTCAAACCTGATCAGTGTATTTGGCATCTGTACCAGTCAGTGTGCCAAAAGTAAACAATAGAACATCAGATTCGAAAATATTCAGAATCGGTAGAAACTTACTGGTTGGCGGAAAGTTGCAAAAGCTTAGACACGTCGGCCATTGATTTTAAAAGTATGTAACTAAGAGGAGGAAGACGTGCACATAAGTTTACAGAGAGACAAAGGTGCACATGTGAGGGGCGGGCTCGCGGAGCTGAACAGTAGTGGACGAGAAAAGCTCTCAGGCTGACTCTGAAGCTCAAGCCCGAGGCCACGCGGCGAGAGGGGCCGCAGATTTTCCATCGGCAGGTTGGCCTCGTTGCATCGGAGGCAGCGTGGCCAAGACCTCGTGTTAGCAGGCGGTGTTCGAGGTCAGTACTGTCTCGCTTTCGAAAAGAAAAACGCCCACATGGAGAGGAACTCAGACGTTGACAAGAAATATTCGAAAGAGGGCCCGAGACACTTAGAAGGAGCATGGTAAACGCCGGGCGGGAAAGCATTACGTTTCTTTTTCTGGCTCCGGAGGGCAGAACTGTCACCAGTGAATGGAAGGGACCAGCTGTCCCTCCTGCTGATTCTGGACCAGGCCTGAGGAACAGGCCTGAGGGCAGCAGAGGGCAGGAGACGAGCCATAGCTCCGGTGACACCACCGCTCAGAGTCCCTACCAACCGTCCCACTGACCATGGCATAAACATAGACTCTCCCAGGTCAGAAACGCATGCCACGTCCCCCAAACACAGACTCCGGTGGCTCTGGGGACCCGTCTGGCCGTGTGCCCGCCGTGGACCTTGTTCCGAGCTGGAGCAGAGGCCCCGTGCGTGTTCCAGGCTGCTGAGTCTCGGCTCCGGCCTTGACATTAAGAGCTTGTTATGAGCCAGCACCCTTTCTGCCCTGTGAGCCTTTCTGCCCTACGCCATCAAACACCAATAACAGCAACCGCCTCCCGAACCATGTGAGCCCCCAAGAAAAGCGAGCAGGTGTGGCGAGTGCCTGGGGAGCTGCTCTGAAGGGCGAGAGCACCCCAGCCCCCCACAGGCCGCCTCCCCCAGGCCGACGACCGTCCTGTGCCCAGGTCGTGGATCCGATGCGGCCCATGCTCAGAATGTTCAGACAGGAAAGGCTCAGACGCGGGTGGACCGCACTCTACGCCGCCAGCCGGAGTCCGGGTGGCAGCTTTGGAAGAGGCTTGAAGCCAAACTTCACGTTCTCTAGAACCCGAGACTCACTCTGGGTTTGGACGTGACAGACGTGAGGACAGACTGAGGACAGACGTGCAGGACAGACATGTCCTGGGAACGTCCGCAGAAGCCTCATTCGCAACTGCCAAGCGTCGGGAAGGACCTAAATGTCCGTCCTCAGTAGGACATGTAAAGAAATTCTGTGCGTAGACGATGGACGCTGAAGGAAAATGGACAAGGACAGCCCGTTTCCGCATGTCACCACGCGAGGGGACATCGCCCACGCGGCCGTCAGGAACCGCGGTCGGCACGAAGGCGCGCGCCCCGGGTGGCCCACGGAGGTGACATCGGGGGCTGCACAACCACCGACCCCCGTGGCGTGTGCCCCTGAGCCACGGTGCTTTACTCGGCGTGTGCGCTTCCATTTAGAAAGCGTTTTATGAAACCGGCAGAGGCATCGCCGCCCCCCGGAATGGCGAATGCGTTGGAGCGTCCTCACCAACAGGACCAGACGGAAACACGTAGACGCCACTCACGGTCGCCGGAGATGCCACTCGGTGTCACCACAGTGAATGCGTTTGAGCATCCTCGCCAGCAGGACCAGACGGAAACACGTAGACGCCGCTCACGGTCGCCGGAGATGCCACTCGGTGTCACCACGCCGCGGAACGTCAGTCAGAAGGAGAAGGAGCCTCGCCCCGCACGCGAGGACAGGCAGTGGCGGCCACGCGGCCCCGGCACACGGCTCGTCGGTGGCAGAACCGTGGTGGCGTCGCGGTTCGCCCTCCACTCGACATCGCCCTCTCGGGCCATCCGGAAACCAGATGCCGGGCAGGACAGTGAGGCGGAGCTTGGCGACCCGGCTCAGTAGGCAGTGGTCTGATTGTCACCGGCCTCCTCTCGAGAACACGCAGGGGACTGTGCTTCTCAGCACATTCATCGCACCCCAGTGGCGTGCCCTCCGCTCCCCGTAACTTCTCATTTTATGTCCGTGACAAGGAGGGGGCCCTGCGCTCTTGCAGTGGCCATCTAGAGGGGCAGCGGGAAGTCAGAGTCGAGGGGACAGTCGCTCCGGCGGGAAGCCCTGGACGGCACGGAGAACGGCCTTCTGAGGCAGCACCTTCGAGCTGCGTCCGAACGCTCACGGGGTCACGACACAGAGCGAGGTAGGCAGGGACAAGGGCACGCGCCAGTCCCGTGAGGGAGGGTCCCTGGGTGCTGGGTGAGCCGGAGGGGCGCATCGGGGACAGGAGACTGGATTTGTTTTGGGCGCAGAGTGACCTCCTCTTTGGCGTCTGTGGGGCCGGTGCGCTGAGGGGGCCCTGCAGCCCGCCCTTCTCCCCTCGAGGAGCTGGGACTCCTCTCGGAAAGGAGCAGGTGGTCGCTGCGGCTCTCCCTCCCTCCTTCTAGCCTTGGTCACTGGCCACCCTGAGATAGAGAACGTGTCACGGTGCCGGCAAGCGGTGCTTTCCCGTCTACCAGGCTGGGGGCACACGGAACTGAGGGGATCAGCAGAGGTAACACCCCCGGGGGGCGCATGCCCATAGGGCTGGTGACCTGGCTCAGGTGACACACAGCCCTAATGTTCCCACTTGTCCAAACCACCCCAGCCAAGACCCCTCGCCTGCCGCACTATGTGACCTTGGGCTGGCTGCGTGACGGGATGTCTCAGACCAGCCCCACTGACTGTTTTGTAAACAGGGTAAAGCAGGCGTGATGTGGTTGGTATAGTAAGAAACCGCAAAGACAAAAATTCGTTCCGAATGGCCGTTCGGTGTCTCCTAAGGATGGGACAAAGAGAACATGCTTCGGTTTCGGCATCAATTATTTTGACCAGAAATTGGAGGTAATTTCTTACTAATAATATATGAAACGAGAGAACACATTTCTTAAGAAAAGTATGCGATTTTATTCATTGGAGCTGCTCAGTTACTAGTTGGAAGTCTCGCGTAGAGACAGCCTAATGGAGCAGATGAACTTGCGAGTCCGTTCCGGATTTCTGATTTAAGTCAGTGCCTCTGTGTATATGGACTTATTTAAAAATGGCGCTTGAAATATTAATACATGATAAATCGTAGTCATTATATATAAAAACCACTTAAACTGAAACCTCCCTTTCTCTGGACTCCTACACACAGTTCACATTAGGAAACTGGGGGCAAAAACCATGTTGTTCAGTAAATAACAGCAATTTAAAACAGATTCGGATGTGGCCCCAGCAGGTGGAGGCTAAGTTCTTACTCTTGAAGAATGCAAAGGCTTAGGAGGCTCGTTAGTCTCTTGGGAAAGTGTCTCTCTACAATTTTTATTTTTTGTGATGTTAAGACAAATCATTCTCACTTTAGGTTCATAAACTCCTAACTGGTCTCCTTCTTCAGTATTTTCATTCTTGGTGGCAGGCGAATCCGTCAAATCTGCAGTCTATGGTTAGCGTTTATTTGCTGAATGTCCACGTCCACTTCTTGGAGGGGACGTTCGCTTTGCGAGTTGAAGCATCACTGTGTACACTGCCCAGGTCACTCGGACCGACCCGTGAGGCTGTCCCTCAGTGCAGCAAGCGATCCAGGACGAGGCAGTCAGCGTCCTCACCAGAGGCTGCCTCCGTCGACCGGAGCTCATGCCCTTCATCAAGTGACAAAGCAAACGCCCCAGAGCACGGCTGAAACGCTCAGATGAACCCAGACGTGAGTTTAACACGGGTCTGCAGGCAGCGTGCCGTCGCACGTGGGAATACGCTCCAGCAGGCCTGCGACGGCTGTGTCGGTGGGTGTGACAATGCTGTCGCTTTTTGTTAACTTGGATAATTATTCATTTCAGTCAACATCGCGATAGTGGAGGGGCCCCCAGTGATAGCAGGGTTGTTGGGATAGCTGTGGTGAGTGGGGGTGTCACATGTGGGATAACGTCATGGTCGATGAGCTTAGGACGGATGTTACACATGTCATGGTCATCAGGAGGGTGTAGATTACTGGTTTAGGGTGCTTCGGGGGGTTCGTGGACCGTGAGGGCAGCTGTTCATGCTGTGTGAGCGATGGGTGCGTAGGCCAGGGCTTTTCGGACTTGGGTTGGGCTGAGTCCACCTCATCCTCCGACTGTGACCGACAGTCTGTCCAGGTTGCTGGCGGGCGAGGTTCGGTAGGGAACCCACACGGCGACGAGTGTTTGTCAGGTCGGTAGGGTTCGGCCTGAGGGTGGTGATGCCTGCGTGACTTCCGGTCCTCAGAAGCAGAATGGAGATAGTCCAGGTTCCATGGCTAGGGCTGGCGTTCCGATGACCGGGGTCTGTACTCAGGGCCTGTGGAATGCCCCGTGAGTGAGGTCATCGTTAGGACATTGATTATATTGATGCGGGCACACTCTTCTAGGAAAAAGGGCACGAGAGGCCCCCCAGCGTATTCTGCACCGAAGCCAGGGACCGGCTCGGATTCTCCCCCGGGTAGATCAGGGGGGCTCGGCTGGGTCCCGCCTGCGTGGAGACGAATCACATCACAGCCCAGGGTCGTGGGGAGAGGGTCGGTCCTGGATGTCCTCGGGCAGTGACTGAGCTGAGTAAATGAGCCGTTCAGCACTGGGTGGAGGCTGATCGCTAACGCCACCTCGTAGGAGGCTGTCCGAGCGACAGCTCGCGGGGCTCCGACTAGGGCACACTTTGAGACTGAGGCTCCGCCGGATCACAGGGCTGAGCAGATGGCCACGCTGGATGTCACCAGCATGAGTAGGGCTCCTGGGTTCGTGCGGATGAGGGGGCGTGGTACCAGCAACGGATCCCATGGTCAGGGCCAGGGTTGCGCGCACACACACACACACACACACACACAAATACACATGCACACACAAATGCACACGCACATGCACACATGCACATGCACACATACACACAATCACACACACATGCATACGCACATGTGTGCATGCACAGACACACACATGCACACATGCATGCACACAAACACACATGCACACACATGCACACACAAGTCACACAAGCATGCACACATACACATATGCACATACAAATACACACATGCACACACATGCACACACATATGCACATGCACACGTGTGTGCACACACAGTACTGCACGTCACTGCCCGCGACGTGGCCGTCCATGTGCATGGGAGGGGCAGAGCAGGAGCAAGTGCCCCGTCGTCTCCAGCACGCAGCAGAGACCCTCGGAGGTGGCATCCAAACCCAGTCGGTGGCCCAGCAGTCCCGTGCCCCAGCCAGTCAACCCCGCCCAAGAGGACGTCCTACTTGCAGGCGTTTCAGTGGCCGTGGCGCAGGGGCTCGAAGGTGACATTCGGGGTCTGCGGACCGCAGTGACCCAGACGGAGCGCGCCTCTCAGCTTCTCCGGACATGCTGAGCCCCACAAAGCGAGGCGCCCCTGGGGACTCGCCCGACAACGTGGGGTCGACACAGAGTCCCTGGGGTCCTCACGAGTGGGCGTTGCTCAGCGTCACTCCGCTCCCAAACGGGGTTTGCTGGATCTGCACCTGATGCATCACATTCCCTGGACCAGTCACCACCATTTAGGAAACCCAAAGCGACTCTTCACGGGGAAGTTCAGTGTCCCCGTCAGGCACTCCCTAAATGTCTCTCTCCTCCGTGACCCTCACAAGCTTCTCGGGGACGCTGGGCCAGAGGGGGCCCGGGGCAGACGTGCAGGAGGACAGACCCTCCTCCGTCTCCACAAGCAGCAGAAGCATGAGTGGGGGCCGACACTTCTGCGGGGCACAGGTGGCCATGGCCAATGTGCCACCAGCTGTCTGTGGTCCTGTAATACCCTAGGGTATAGCTCTCCTCACCGGACAGTCTCCCAGGTCCCTTCTGACCCCGAACGCCTTAACCCCACACAGAACCTGACACGGTGGTGGATGTGAGAACCAGTTTGAGCGCGGTGATTTCACAATGTAACAAAATATCGAGCTGGACGCCTTAAAAGGTACAGTTTTCCTCGATCATACCTCGATACAGTTGGGCGCAAATAAAGATGAATAGAAAAATAAATAGACACTGGACAAATGTGACCAAACGGCATGTTTTCCTAATGCCGAGTGACCGTGTTCCTTCTGACGGGCGGACCGTGCTTACGTTTTTCATCGAGTCGCCTGCCCGGGGCGGCTGCTCCGATAAGCATGTCGCTTGTTGTAATTCACTAAAAACACACTATTCAACAGTTTTCTACCTGGTCCACATCTTTTCCACTTTTACCCTCATTAGATTTTTCAGGAAATTACAATGATTTTCTAAAATAGTTCGAATATACATATTTTCCTGGTCAATAAATAATTGACTCCAGGTAAAAACCTTACCCAAGTCAAAATGAGAGGTTTATTTACTTCTTGCGGTCTAATGACTGAAATGGTTGCAAAAAAACAGTGTTTCCCACTTTCTTAACACACTGGTTCTCTGCCCTGACCATGTGACCCCAGGGAGCTTCTACAAAGCACCGAGGTCATCGCTCTGTTAGTGTAGACTGAGGACCAGGCGTCAGTATTTTTAAAGCCACCCGATCATTCTGCCGAAGAGCCGTAGTTAAGAGCATGACATCAGCTCTCTGTCAGCGTTTTGATGCTCGGTTCCACAATTTACCACGTTATAAGGTCCCTGCCGCCGACAATCTTCAGCGCTCTAAGAAGTGATGGCATTTGCACAATATTTTGAAATTCGAAATTTAACTCCTTTTGAATTGTTCACTTCAAAATAATCAGATAAAAGACATTACTTTGGTCCATATTGGAATGAATACACAAGTAATAAATCTACTCTAATAGTAAAAAAAAAAAAATGCTCCTCTCATTTATTTTACATTAATTAATAGGGAATGGCAGGCACGAGCACGTGTTATTTATTCATAAGTATATTTAATTGATACCATCTAAATGTTCGAAAATCAAATAACCCTCTAAAATTTCCATTACCTTCATTATTTTAACTTTTTTTTTGTATGACTTAAAATAAAACATATTTGTTAATTCAACCTTTAATACAAAGGTACACTATTTCATTTTTGTCTCAAAGTATTTTTGAGAATGTTTTCTTCTTTCTTCTAAGTAATTTCTCTGTTTTACTCGAAGGAATTTGTAGGCAATTTAAAACATTGAGGCCAAAGTTTCTAAAATGTGTTGCTTTAATTAACGCCAGTGCTAACTTTAAATCTGCGTTAATTGCTACCAGAAATGTAAGTAAATGCGGTACCTAAATGATAACATTCATTTAAAATATCATTTATCTTGATAACTGGGACATAATGTATATTTACAAAATCCTTATCTGTCAAATGTTTCTTTCCATTTAATTATATCGACCTGAGATTCACCGAACACCTACAGTTAGCAAGGCCTTACAGCAGATGGTGTGAGGGTGAATAATGTTTTTGCATCGCCTCACGTACCTTATGATTGAGTGAAGATCAGGCCTACTCCGCTATTGCGATTTCTGTATATTTTTTCTGCCTTACTGGATTCTTAGCTCTTATCTTGGAATTAGATAAGATGATTCAAATTTAAACTATCGACTCTGCCAGTTTCTTCATTTTAAAAAAAGGTCATTAATTGTAATGCCTATCTTTATTTTTAATTTATTAGCTGTAATTTATATAAAAATGGGTAACACCTGGTAGGAGGTGAACAAACAACAGCTTTATATTTTCATGGTCGTACCAAGCAACAATACATACTTTAAGAATAATGCGGCGGGCACGTTGTCAGCATCGGCTATAGAAAAATGATTAATAACTCACTGTCTCTACCTTCGGAAGTTCATAATTCAGTGAGTGACTCTCCATCCACATGTGAGTCAGGTGCCCCATTGAAAATTTAATAAAGTTACGGACTCTCTCCCCAGAGGAAGAGCCCTCACAAGCCAGATTTCACAAGCACGCTCACGCTCCTCACGGCGGCCTGAATATAGGCGTCACGAGTGGATTTCAGCTTAAGAACCATGTGCATTTACAGAGAACAGAGTGAGAACTCTCGCTTTTGGTGGACGGTGGGCTGCAGAAGACCGCGGTACGGGACGGAGACAGATACGGGGCGGGCGCAGGCGGACCGCGGCTCGGAGGGTGCCCGGCGGTGGCCGTGGCAGAGCAGGCACGGGCGTGACGCGGGCAGCCCGGCTGCGGGTGAACGCGGGCCTGGGAAGGGTGACTCGGCTGGGAGGGCGAACCGGGGGGCTAAGCGGAGAAAATCAAGAGCGCTTGGAAAACGTCGCATTAGACACGACGTTCGCAGACGACGACGGTGGGAAAGTACGGTTTGGCCAGAATGTGTCCAGCGTGCTAGAGAGCCTGAGCTCCTGTGTCTGCGAACAAGACGACACCGGAGGCCACCCGGCTGGGGTCGGCCTGACGGGGGGGGGGCAGAGGGGAGAGAAATCGGGGTGTCGCTGCCACAGCCGAATCCAGCTACCGAGGGCACCTTGTGCTTTTTTAAAACGACTCTTCATTCGGAGGACAGAAACGTAGCACAGTGTTCATTTCCCCGCTCGAATGAGAAAACCCCCACGATTTTTTACGGTGCCCGACGTTTCCTGTCGGCGTCTTTCTCCTACACCGAACCGCGAGGGCTTTAACAGAGGGTCAGTGCTGGAGTCAGACCACGCGATCACGACGTGCAGAAATGAGCCCGCCGGCGGGAAACCGGGAGATGCGCAGAAATCGAAGCTCGCTGTGTTCACTGAGATGAAGTGGGACGGTTGTCACTCCAGTCGCGAGGGGCATGGAGAAATGACGCCTCGAGAATTTGGACCGGAGCGCTGAGCCGCATAACCCCCCGCAGGAGCACCGCATCGCTTACCCTTCACTGTCAAACGTCCTGAGAGAAAGCCTGGCAGACCTCTGACCCTGCGCCCCCACCTGCTGTCCGTAGCCTCTGCCCTGCCAACCCTGTCCCATGGACTCCGGCTTCTCCACCTCCGTCTCAACAGTCGCCACTTTCCTAACCCCAAATGGAGAACCTCA